CGTTAGAATTTACAATGATTTATATACATTTCAAACGCTATACGTTATACCCATTAATACAATTTGACTTTTTCGAGTATTGAATTCAAATATTTAATAATTCTTACTAAATAATAGTATTAAAAACGAACTCATAGCATATAAATATATAATATAGGTATGTATTCGACTATTGAATTTTATGTTATATCATTCAATTCTTTTTTATTTTTGTATAGTATTCCAATTTATAAGTGTGGGTAAAAATCATGGTAGCATTAATTTGGCAGGTCTACTATATATAATACAAAGGAGTTGTTCGTTAAAAAGGTTTTTAACTTAATCTCGGATATATATATATATATTCTTTTCTAGGTACCTTAAGTCGTTAATAGTGTGAAGCATTTTCGAAAAGGATTTTAAAGGTATTTTTGGTAGGTATGTATATATTTAAAAGGTCGAGATCACAATGGCCAAACATTTTTAAACCTTTTGACTTTTTTTGAATTTTGTTGTGTTGACGGAGAATGGAAAAAAGGATTTATTGTTGTACAAAAAAAGTATAAATCAGAAATGAGTGGCAGCGGTTCGTTTTAATAACAACGTAGCAGACGCTACCAATTGAATTGATTTTATTATGTTATATTTATTTTATATTTAAACGATAGATTTATTTAGTATTTTGATCTAGAAAAAATGTATTGAAGAATAATTTTTTGATATATTTCCGTATGGTATGTTTATAAAACTCAAAAGATGCTTAAGAAACTATAAACATTTAGAAAATACATCGTTTGAAAATATATTGGTTATTATATCGCATTGGATCATCGGGTATAGTAAAGGTAAATTTATTAAAGATTATTTGCATGCTTTTAAATTAGTTGTACTTGTACTACTAAATAAGTGGAATATTATACTAGACGATAATAATTATTTATGAACGAAATAATAATAGCAGTTGTACTATAAAATATAAATTTAACATTCCACCTTGATAAAAATAATAACATTTTAAAGTTCTTCTTCGTATAGTAAGATACGTTATTAGACGATTAGAGGTTAAACGTTTGAAACATAATAAGTCATATATTGATAATTACTCCCTAGGATGGATGCAAAGTGCCTTATTTTTTTTGGTGCTCTAGAACGTGCATTCTTGCAAGTACATAATTCGTTTCGTGTAACAGATACTTCAAAGGTGAAACTTTTATTTTGCATTTTTAGAATTTTCGGGTAATTTTATAAATGTTTAGCATATTTATAAATTGTACGAGGTTTTAGTATAAATTAGGAAATATCCTAGTTATTATTATTTGCTTTTATCATTTTTAGGTATTTTTCATCCATACCAAATCGATCTATTTAAGAATTGAATATGTGCGATAGCGTCTACATATATCTATCTGCAGCGATTAGCGGATGAGAAGACTTAACGGGGCTCAATCAAATAACAAGTAACTGGTCAGTTGGAGTTACATCGCTATCACGTATATTTAGAATATATAGGTACCTAGGTATAGGTAACCTATACTTTTTATTATTGCGCGTGCCTAAATTTACAATTTCGTTTTAGTATTATTGTTAGTTTAGTTAAGATAAAGAAGCGTCAAAAATGCCGAAACTTAAATTGTCCTTTTCCTTTCGTTTACTTGTCTATTAAAAACAAATTGGGGTCGTTATTGAAGGTCATTATTACGCCGAAAATATATTATTAAGGGCATCTTCGATTATTTTTTTTATAGTTTTTAAAGCATCTAAACCCATGCCCTAATGATAACCCTTCATACAAGGGTTAAAATTATGCAAATACAAGAAAATAACTGTGTTTGTTTTATTGCTTGTACAATAAGTTAAGCCAAATAATTGTATTATATAATATTGTAATATGGGTTACTATAACAATGAAGAGGAAACGAAAATTGTAGCAATTCCAAGGCGAAGATAATAACTGGTGGTGGTCCTCTGCGCTTGGTGGTTATACGTCGTTTGCTACCAATGTTCTCTCATATTCATTTTAATTTGGTTTTTTATTTTCATTGTATAGTTTATCATTTTACAGCATGAATTTCAATTTTAAACTACTGGAAAAATAAGATATTTTACAGTTTTAGGGAAATTGTTTTGTTGTAGCTTCGGGCGTCAGGAAATTTGTAGTTGAACATCGCTGCAATTTTTTGTTTATACTGAGTATGCATTTATGATCGCATGTAGAATCGTTAAAGAAATGTGGTATTTTTGTGTGAAGTATTGTGAGCATTAAATATAAATATTATTTTACTTTATAATGATATGAATAAGAAAGTGTAAATATAGGACAGAAAGTATAGGTAACCGCTCAGCTGTACAGTATAGGTATCCATTGTACTTTCCTATTGAGTAAATCACTGTAATGTATGTGTTAAATTAAAATTAAATAATGAACCATTGTCCATTGCACACTAAAAACGATTCTGAACCAAGACAGTCAATCAGACTTTATTACTAAAAAATATATTATATGATATACTTATTATTTATATTGCAATTAAAGTAATTAATTTTACTATTAGTATACAGTATAGACAGTAGGTTGAATTAATTTTTCACTTCTTCAAATGCTCATCAATAAAAAATCCATGCATGTAATTTTGGTGTTTTCAAATATATATGTTAATAACAATTTCTGACTTTCCAAGTAACCTTGTATTACATTTTCAGGCTTTTTGACTGGAGGAAATATTTTTAATCGATATGTATGGACAAAAAACTAAAAACAATCGAAAGTATAGCTTAAAAAACCAACTGAAAAGATGCTGAAGTATAAAACCGAAGCATTTTTGTTAACTATAAAAGTTTTTTCAGACATGAAAAAAACACAACATTGAAAAATCAATACATTCATTGCTTGATGACAGAAACATTATGTAATTTTAAATACATTATTTTTATCAAATATTTTACAAATGGATTTAAATAATTTATTAATTTATTTTCTCAAGATGTATAACATTGAGTTATCATAATATAATAATGTAAATATATTAAATATTAAATAGTTAACATTTAATAACCAAAAATATTACACATATTATACAATATTTATATTTTCTAATAATTTTGTTAAATTTTTGAAATCCATAATTTTTACTTTTGGAGCTAATAAAAAATGTCTGCAATAATACTACAAATAAAAAATTTATAAATATATCATAATAAATATTAATCATTTTGTAATTATATGATAATGTATTATTAAATTTAAAAATATTTTACTTCGTTAGTGGTGCTGTTACTAATTAATGTAAGAATACTTTCTTCGTTTGATCTAAAGGCAGATTAGTACGAGTACAGTTTTCTACCAACCCGTATTATTATAATATAGTAACCAGTAACCACGTTACTATAAAACTTTGGCTGAAAACCACCAATCGCGGCGACGACTTCGGTTAGGTTAGTTTTACCGTAAGTTCATATTCCATAATGTTATATACTAAAATAAATAACTGTTATGTACTTACTACATGGTGATTTAACTGTATCGTGTTGTCTGCTGTTTGTTGAAACATGTATGAAAACTTATAGTTGTATATTATTCATCTCGTGTCATAACTTTATGAGCATCGGGTGACGAAGGAAAAACTTCGTAGGACTACAGACTAGACATTTTTATGTACATAACTGTAATTGGGCACTTTTATTACTACGACTGTAACGTCAAATTACGATGTGTGCTTGGGGTTCCTTAAACATCTAGAATCGAGTGGAGGAGTTATTTCACGATGTCCATATCAGTGAAATACGTGATTAGGGTTGCTTATAGTTGTAAGCGCCTGGTATTCATCGATTATCGACTATCATAATGTGACAATGTCGTTGGTGATATAAACATATATATTTTCATTAATAATGTTTCATCAGTGTAGGTAAATTGTGCCAAAATCAAACGTAAAAAACATTATAATTTGGTATAATAAGTAGCAGGTATCGCTGTATCGGATATAATCAATATTTAGTTTTAACTAACAGTAATCAAATAGTTACTATAGGATTATTCAATGGTATTTAGTATTTACTATTAGGTAATAGAAAACAAAGGCACAATTTTACTGCAAACACACTTTGAGGAAAAATGTGTAGAAAACAAATCGTATTTTTGTCAGTTGCTACCATCTGCGTCAACTCAAAGTAGAATACTAGTTGTACAAAAAACTAAAAATAAAAAAAAAATAAACTAAAAAAAACTTTCGAATTTCATATTTGGAATCGTTGTAACATGACATAAACTTTCATATCACTTTGCTGGATTTTATGTCAAGCAAAAAACAAAAAATTCTATCGTACCCAAACCCCGCAGATTATAATCATCGTTTTATGTTTAATGTTTATATTATATTCCTTGTTCTCGTATGTTAGCTTAGTAATAGATTTGTCTGTGAAAGATTTTTAATAAACATTTAATTTAATATTTCAATTTCAAACAAGGTTTTCAATATACATTTTAATGGCGAAAAAAAATAAGAATTAAAAAACTATTCATATACAAGATACTTATAATAGAAGCATTATTTTTTGTTTTGAAAGTTTAAAACATCATGACTATTAATACTTTTTGGTTTAAGGCAAACTTTTAAAAATATATTATAAATGTATACCACGTGACCGAATCATGATATAAATTATTTATGTAATATCGATAATGTATTACCATGGTAAAAATAGTTAAAAACGTACACATGTGTTGGAATCAAATATTCTATACGTTAGGTTTAGAAAGAAGTTTGTTTAAAGGATTTTATTTTTTAATTTTCTATCAATAAATAATTTAAAGTTAAGTAATCTTGTTCCATGCTGCACAATTAATAAAGTAATACCGCTGTACTCGAAAACATTTAGATATTCATATATTATAATATAACATATACATATGAATCGTATTTCACGGCTAGTCAATAACATAATTATTATTTATTAACTCTTTGTCAATGAATATTAACACAAATATTGTATTAATAATTTTAGATTAAAAATTATAACTCATATTTCAGTAGTTAAACGCCATTCATATCATGTTGTTTTTATTTTAATTCCAAGCAGTATAATAACATGGTCATAACCGTTCACATTAATGCAATAATACCTACATCATTACAATATTATTATCATAACTATTATGTTTATTTTAATTTAACTATTATTTGCTGTACAAACAATACCGATGTTACGTAGGATATTCTCTGTAGGTAATAAAGAAAATATCGTGCGATTTCTATAATAATGTAATGTAATATAAATGTCTAACGAAACTTACGTTGCGAATAATAATAGTAATAATAATAATCTTGTCTAAGTTCAACTGTATTGAATAGATAATCGTTGTATCGTTATAAAATAAAAGTAGAACAAAAACATTGATTCACAAAATAAAAATAATAATAATCATTGGTGTGTACAAATGGGGACTGGTCGTTTAAGTGGCAGTTTTCTTTACTCTGAACCTTTCTTCAGCAGCCATCGAACCTTTCATAATGTACGCCATGTTCAAAAACAATGCTGTCCACGCCGAGTGCATCTCTTCAGTCCATCGGTCGACTAGCGACGGCTGTATGGCCATAATGAATTGAGGTCCGATCAACTGAAAGCAAACACAACGGTGGACAATTGTTGAAAAAGTAACACGAAATTACACATTATACTATAAATCACTATTACATCATTTTAGGTATAATATCCAATAATATATAACAAGACCAATTAAATACAGGTTATATTAATGACACTTTAAAATATTTGAATATATTTTGAAATATTTTCAGTTATAAACAAAGCAAAATATTATATTTTATATACGTATTGGTTTTACTCTGTAATTATTTACCTTATGAAATGTACTAAATGAGCAGTAATCAGTTTGCAATTTAATTTAATTTTGGTTATTTTTATATCTAGTTATCACATCAAAATGTTCTAGTTGACTTGCAACTAGACCGATAATTTGATTAAGTATCATAGGGTGGCATGTCTAGGGTGTATCCTATGTCATATAATATGTTAAGACGTATGGTCACAGTAATGGTGAATGTTGGCAGTCAACATTATCTGCACTGCTGGGCGATCGTAGACCATAACATATACATTGAAATAATAAAGGAATGTAATATAAGTAAGACGAGTTCTAACCATAAAGGTTATTTGTGTTTTTATAAAGGTGTTGTAACGATGATTAATGATGTTATTTAACGATATCCTGTCTTGCTTATTTCAAATTCAAATGTTTGGGAAAATAATACGACTTGATTCAAACTCAATGAATTAACATTAATTCCATAGTAGGTACATAGTTTACATAGCATCTACTACCTAGATACACAGTCTACAATGCATATACATTATACATATTATATGACAATCAAACACTGTATAGGATATATACAACGTTAAATGCGATTTATCTATATTAGTTACACAAAAAGCTTTCAAACTTTCTGAACACAACCTTTTGCGGAGAGGAAAAAACTTTTATACTTATACTTAGTACATGGCTAATGAGCATAAAATTCTCGTTTATCTACATTTTCGTCTAAAACTTATAAGACACGATTAACAACTATATTATACGGACGAATTTGTATGTATTACAATGTTAAGCGGTGCGATGGTGGTCCAGCACATAACATTTTAAACATGTACATATATATACGGGATTGTACAGCGTACATGCTTTTTCGTAGCCTGTGGAACTAAAAAAACGGAAATATACGATGGCCCACCTAAAATAATTTTAAATGTAATTTAAAGCGAACATGAAGAAAATATGGTAGGTATTCTAAATACTTTAGTATTGCCACCGGTCATCGTGTTTAATTAAACACGAGTGCAAGGATAATAATTATTGTTGGGACATTTTATGTACAGTCGAAACGCTCGTGTATCGGTGCTTGAAAAAAACTCACATTTTTCCACATCAACTGAAGACATCCCACTGGGTAATACACGATTCGACGGCCATTTAATTATTATTATTGGTTTTTTTCAACCAAACATTATTCGCAGCAAAGTAGAATATTGAAATAATTGATTTCGTTTCCGATAAGTCCCTCTTTGTACTCACCAAAACAGATTAATAAGGGCGGCAACTATAGCCACCGTAATCATAATATGTTGTGCTGGGTCGCCGCCGTGTGCCGGAAAGACGACGTTGCCCTGTGTAGTACACGAAGACCGGGTGTGGTCTAGGTTAAGTGCACGCGAATTATCGTCCACTGCGGGTGTTTTTATCGTTTGGGGTCGGTACGAAAAAAGGGCAGAGTTTGCCTAGTGACTAGGAGGAGGTCTATATTTATACGTTTGTGGTGCGTGTGTAATTATTACACCCATTACAATGCGTAGGTCCATTATCGTGCAATCAGTTTGTCCCCAGAGTAGGAAATGTTTAGTGTTCTAAGCTCGGGGATGATTTTGTTTGTGTTGATAAGACAATAAAAAATATTTATTAATAAGTATTATATACTCATCAGTCATCGTAATTTATAAATATAACCAAATAGGAATCGTAAGAAACGAGATTTGTTACCTACTTAGTTTTTGCTTGGACAAAATAATGAATACGTAGCCAATTCAAAATGCCATTTACAGTTCTCAAGTACACAAAAAGCATATTTTGTATGAAAGTAACATATTATAATTTTACAAGATATAACAAAACTGTTTGAATTAAAAGTCAATTTTTTTGTTGATTATTTCGTTTTTCTAAGATAGTTGAAAATTATAATTTTACGACTAAAAAAGTTTTTCGCTCTAAAATATTAATATTTTTTAATATTTTTTAAATCTAACAAAATTGCTCCACCTTTGACAAAAAAAAAATAGTTTTTATTTTTTCATAATATATATTTTTAGCTATTTTTAAACGTACAATATAACTGTCAAGTTCTAAGAAATCGAGTCATATTATATATAAGTTAATTTTTTTGTAAAAATTATGAAAATTAACCAATGTAGGTTTATTTTCAAAACTTGTTATTCATTTTACAGTCTGAAAAATATAATTTCCCATTTATTGATATTTAACTGAACAATGTGAAGAGGATAATTTTTTTTTATATACAACACGTTTTCGGTTGTGTTTTTAGGCAATTAAAAAGGACAGTAATTAAATATTTGTTCAAAATATAATTTCAAATTAGAAATAACTACATGTTTTGCCACTTTTTTTATAAAATTTGAAATTTTATTTTTTACAGGTAAAAGGGGCAAAACATTTAGTTATTTTTATTTTGTGTATTTCTATTAATAACACAAATAAAAATAACATGTTTTTTACAATAAATTATTTTTATATGATTAAATGAACTGTATAGTTGCATAAAAAAAATGCGATTTTACATTGATAATGTTTTACTAAGAGACAAGAAGTAGGTATGCAATTAATAATTATAAAACAAAAACCCGGGGAAGTGGGCTTCAAGCATACACTTTGTCATTGAGTAGGTCAGTGAAATAAACGTACAATTTAAGGTAAACTATAAATCACAACGAGGTAAGAATTATAGGTGTGTCGTATAAATAATTTAAATTTAATCTAGATATTTTATAATTTCATTAGATTATGATAGCTCCAGTAATACCTAGTCGAATGATTCAAGTTTCTACGATTATTATTTTATAATTATAAAAACACGGTTATAATTTGGGAAATCAACACTCCGCGTGGCATACCCGTAGTTCAATTTAAAATGCCTTCTCATAAAAGTCAAATATAATTAAGTTAAATCCAATAAATGATGAGTTGTTGTACCCATTAAGTTTTTTGATTCAATTTTTTTTTGTTCAAATAGATATCTTAGTACATTTTCAAAGGTTTGAAAATCGAACTTCGATCTTTAAAAGTGTTAACAAATTTATGTCTCGCCTGAAAAAATACTTAAATATTTTATCTGTAATCATGTACAGTATTTTTCCTATTGTATAGTGCACCACTATAGTATTTCATTTCTATAGTATCTTAGATTATAAAAAAGTTGTGAAGTAATGAAATAAATGTTCTCCTGGCGAGGGAAATACACCATTATATAGTGAGTAATAAAGTTTACTGCTACACACGCTAGACAGCGGGCAGTTTTTAGCTATATTGTTCGCGTAGCACAAAAGCTAAAATGGGTATCTACACAATATACTGTGTCCGTTGCAACCGCGTCGGAAGACTTAAAAAACAGTGACCTACAGTTCATTTTTTTGATGTACTCTATAAGTTGAGCATTTACTTTTTATTCGAAATTAATTCATTGAGCATTTCGACGTACATTTAAAATTGGGCTCATATTCGTTTTGCCTCGTCTGTATCAAATTACCCAGAATACGAGAGACGACCGAGTATTGGTATTTGCTGTTAGCGTTGAGGTGGTGCACAAAACGGAATACCGAGAGAGCGAAAGAGAGATGAGGAGATTGAGAGAGATACAGGCAGAGAGAGAGAGAGAGAGAGAGAGAGAGAGTACAAGTATAATATAGCACCTTGGGATATGTATACAAATCGTATTTGCACGGGTAGCAAGCAGCAGTAGGTTGGTAAATTTCTACAGCATTAACAGACTGCTTGAGGAAGGGGGCCGTTAAATGAATACAAAGTAAATGTTCCTAAGTCGTTATTTACTGTGCACCAGTGTACATATATAGTGTCTATAGAAGCTGCGATTTGCGTTCGAATCTTTCGGCCGAGTGAGCGCGACTTTGACATAAACTATATTAATATTTATTCCGATTCGATAATAAAATAATATACGCATACCTAATGCATTATACATTATTATCACCTAGGCAACATCGGAGCTGTCTCAGACGGGCAAACCATAAAGCCGTGTTGACAGCTATGTCATTTACTCGTTTATCGTGTCGTGTCCAAAAGTTGAGATCGGCCCCACTCTGGAAATATTCTGGTATATTATACGGTTAGTGAATGATGCCATGGTTACCACGGGTCAATCAGAATATGATAAAAGCCACACGACAGACAGCGTTGCTGTGAACTCGGCTTAGCGCGGAATGAGTGATTGAACGTAGTGTCCATAGTAAAATAAATTATTGACGATTAGTGAGAGAGAGAGAGAGAGAGAGAGAGAGAGAGAGAGGAGAGAGAGAGAGAGAAAGGAAAAAATCACCAATGTCTGGCACTTAAATTATTTCAAATGTAATACGTGTATGAAATTAATGATTAGGTAGTAAGTTATAAGGGCAAGTATAATGTAATGGGTTTTGGCATGGATGAGAGATGTGAAAAAAAGAAAATAATGTTCTTATGACTATCGCAGAAAACTCGAACGATTGAAGAATGAGAATAATCTAGTCCAACCATAAAAAAGTTTGATATTTTCATTGGTGGATAAGTTTATGTTATAAGCTGGTTTACAGTCAGTGGATTTTATAAAATTTAACCTGTCTTATAAAACGATTAAGTATAAATATTATTTAGATAGAGTATTGAGAGAAATAAATTGTAATACAAATTCCGAATATTAAACAATTTTTTTTTTATTGATACAAAACCTTCGGCATCATGGGCCATTGTGTTTATAAAATATACTTAAAAATTGTTAAATGTATTCTTGGAATAACCCTTCAATTTGTATAGTATTATTAAAAATGTGTTTCCATAGGTTTTGTCTTAAAAAGCAGATCGTTTGATATAAACTTAATACAATATTATATTAAAGTATGCTGCGTATACGGTATACCATTAACACTCTATATTATAAAGACATTACTATACAAACATACCTACTTTTTATCTCTTCTAAGATGGGTTGAAAATACAGCTTAAATTAATTTCTTTTCGTCGAAATGTGTAAAATAATCATTATTAAGTCTGTACTTAAATCAATTATACTCACGTCTACGTATTTCTGTTTGGCGCCATAATGATAGTGTTTCTTGCCCAAGTCTCTTAATAGAGTTTCCAGTTTATCGGGTTCATATAGACGTGCAACAGCTTTTTGTACGAATGCCATAACTCTAAAACAATAACGTAGGTTAGTTAATAGTTATTGACAATAATTGTCAATGATAAAATTACAATTATTGTAATGCTGATGATATCGAACAATTTATTGTTTTTAATCATTGAGGAGGTCTCCTACGATTTTATTGATAATAGTCTATCCAAATTTGAGTACACTTATTAGGTGTTTGTGAAATTACTTTAGGTAGGCTTACAGTGTGAAATTTCATTATCAAAAACTAACTATCATTTATCATGTACATTAATATAAGTTCACCAATACTAAAACTTTATAGTTGGTCTATGAAATATATGAAATACATAAGTAGTGAAATTTCGATGTAAATAAAAAAACATGATAAATTATTATTTGTTGTTGTTGTTGTTGTATTTATCATTTAAAACTTCAATGACAAAGGTATTATTAGTTTAAATTTTACAAAACGGTTACGGTTTTATAACTGAAATTATGAGATGATTACGTAGTTGCAAATAAACATTTTTTCTTAATGTTAAATTTTATTGCACAGGTCCGTTTTTCTCAAGAAGTTAATCATACTGTTATTATGTAACTATATTACCTAACAGAAATCCGACTTTCCGCCAATGTTTAGGCCGAAAAGATCGTCAAATAATATCAAATATCAACAATATTATGGTACGGAGTGTCGGAGTCATGGAAATATAACAGGTAAGTCGAGACGATGGATAGATTAACTGGAATATAGCTAATATGTTCAATATGTCTATACATACTGATAATGTAGTATAGAAATTTAAAATATTGACTGCATCATGATATGATCACTAGTTCTGTGACAAGACCGAATAATTAACGATAATGATAATGATTAGTAACTAAGGTGACTCCTAACAGGTTTAAAAAATAAAAGGTAAAATATCACTCATACTTTCATAAAAAAAACATAAAATAGTTCACTTTAATTTCCTATTGTATGAATATAATAAAATACAAAGAAATAAACTCACTTTTGAGAATAGTTAATTAATGTCGACAATTCCTATCAATATATAAATATTGATAGAAATTGTCGACATTTCATCTCAATACATCGTACCTATAATATACGAACCTTTCGCTCAAAGTTACTTTTATCAAAGTATTCCATTTTTCCTTCTATTAACCCGTCACATGCAAACTATAATAATATTTTATAATGAGTTTCACTGCGAATGATGGATCGTTTCAACATCGTACCTATAACTAGTAAATATAAGACGTGTGAGCCCGTGAATAATTATTGTTTTTGTTTAGTGTGTTAACTATAAACATATTGACTTATGCTGAAATAACCGATTGTTGTCCTTTACACACGTTATAATGCATAATAATAATAATAATAATAATAATAATATATTATATATATACTATTTGTAAATTGTTAAACTATACATGCAAAACTACGACAGGTTAACGAGTTCACAATAATTATTTTTAAATGCAGTTTATTATTAAATGTCAAAAACACATTTGATATAACACAGTATGATATTATACTATAATTTTATATGGAAATTAATAGGTATTCATAATTTATTTTCGGGGCGTATTGTGTAGACACTAGACACATCTACACAATTATTATGCAGCCGATCATCTATTAGAGTTGAGTTTCACGTTCAGCCGGCCGGACAGCGTTTGTTTTTCTCGCCCGAGATATCTTTTTACTTCAAGGGTCCCAGAATGACCAATCTGATCCGGCCCACAAGCAAGGGAAAAAAGTAAGACGCGTAATTTTATTCCTTTTTAGTGTTATAAGTCATCAATTTTGTTCATCTAGCAACTTCCAGATTTCTAATGTGGCCCTTCAAAAGTATTAGATGCCTACCTCTCAGTAAACCGAGTTTACTTTATAATATTACAATATTATTACTTTGTGGAAATACGCTTCAACCGTGCTGCAGGCATCTGAAAGTTTTATTTGAACACGCCTTTCGAAGACTCAGGGGCGTTGCTACACTAATGTGACAGATTTTGAGTCTATGTCATATCATATTATTATTATTATTATTAATATCCATTGTTCGTGGTGACAAAAACTGGGTTGTAAAAATTGCAAAACGTACAACATGACCTTACATTACATCTACTATAATATCGTCGTGGCGAGGACGACAAGGGATCTCCGTGCTGAACACACATACCTAATAATAATAATAATAACAAACCGTAAATTTTTAATATTTATATAATATACATCACGCATAATATTATGGATAGCGATGTTTTATCGGACACCGTGAAGTGATTTACCACGAGGTGTGTTTACACGTGTCAACAGTGGATATAGGGTTATGTATATGGATTTCCATAAAAAAAAAATTAAGTATATGCACACACGAGCTTTCATTAATAATTTATCAGTGTTTGAGTCGGACACGCATGAGGATTTCTGCGCACGGTTTTAAGCAAACAGCGATTTTATCCGGCTCTCTTATAAATGATGTTTCGTTTTGACACAATTCCTACCTATTAGGCCGATACAAGTTTAGGTAACCGTATTGTATTATGTGGTTACGGTTACAATTATGGCATATATAATTCGAAAATAGTAGATATTTTTGATATTTGTAATAATTAATCAGAGTTTAGACAAGGTGAGTAGACTTGCAGGGTGGTATGGAAAATACCAACAGTATATTAGCAAGGAAGTGCTGTATAGTAGGCAGCTAAAGTTTACGATAAAATTATCTTAAGAAAACAACTCAAATAATGTCTCTTCTGACATTTTGTACACAAAATACATATTAGAAGTTTTAATTTAAATACCACTGCTTACAAAAAAACGATGGAGTACGGTATGTCAGGCTCCATTTCTAAGATATTTTATAATTTATTTATATTACTATTAGTAATTTATTTTTCTATTAGTTGTACTCCTAGTGCCGTTGTATCAACTTATTTTTAACAAACCCATCGTATATACCATATAGTGTAGTATTTATTATTATTATAATACTAATATTAATAAATTGTCAACCGAAAATTTAATCGACGCAGTGAAAAAGATCTTTGGTCTTGTAATAAATGAAAACAAACAAATATTGTGATCATACTCAAGAGTCAGGGGATAATATGTGCCAATCGGTTGTCATATATGGAGAGCAGAGAACTAAACATACAGACAGTTGCAAAATAGAAACTTGATAAATATTACCAAAGCGAGGGACTAAACTACTATAAGATTATCTAGTGAAAGAAAACCTAAGAACTTTAGAAGTGCTGAACGGAGAAGAAATGGCACTATAAAGAGGTTTCTCATCTAAAGAGATCGAGAAAATACGTGATACGTTTTGGTATCAAGAGCTAACGATGTGGATTGAGAGGTAATGCAATTGAAAGATAATTAAGTATTATTTCTAGAAATTAAAATACTAAAAGCAATAAAAACTAACATATTTCCAAAACAAATTAGCTTGGTGGGCCGAAACCGGTCCGAAGGTCGTGGGTATTAGAGACCCATACAGTACACTCAGGCCGTAGATACGTATAAAAACGATTGATATAAATGAAATATTCAAACGTTTTATCGTTTCACTTGAAATGTATGCTTATGTTTTTCGATAGAATATTGTGCTGAACGCTATATAATGAACATAATATATAATAGACTAAATATTTCCAATTATTATTTTGGAATGTGTGTCTTATAAAAATATAGTGTGTTATAGAGTCGGTATGATATAATTATATGTTGTAGGTCATAATAACAATATCCGGACGACGGACGTCAGTACTCTTCCAAAATGATTTTATATCAATACTATAGTCATAAAAATAAAACTACAAATAAACAAATGCAGTGAGTATAATTTTTCTACATTTTTAATATAAAGCAAAACCCATTTATAACGGAAATGTTGATAATATTTTATCAGATGTTCAAAATATATCTATAAAAAAAATGGTGGAATACTAATACTTCATTATTAATAGTGAACAATTAATTAAATTATTAAATTAATATTATCATTAAATGATGACTTAAATGGTTATTACTAATAAAAAACTAACCACTTTGTTATATGTCGTGTATTTTAGTATAGTAATATATGCATACGGTTGTATGATTGAAAAAAATCTATATACTCGTAGTTTTAAAATATTGGTAGCTTAACGACTAGCATGCAATAACGATATAATACTCTAATAAAGTTTTACCATGGGTGTTTGCTGCTGATCGGTGACACCATAAACACAATTTATTCTTTAATGGTCATGGTATAAAATATTGATGGATTATTGTTATGGCCCAATAACATAATAATAGATCATTTATGTACACAAAATATGATACGCAAACATGATTTTAATAATTATGAATTTGTGGTGATTTATAAAAATAAATAAATAATAGGTGATTACATAGGTTGGCGTGAATAAATAACTTCAATAGCCTTGAAATATATTTATTTTGTGTATCTACTCTGATTAAGAACAACAGTTATTTCCAATCTACATTTTGTTGTAATTAAAATTCAGTACCTGATGTCGAAAAAAAAAAAAAATATCAAAAAAAAGGCAATTAAGTAACCGTTTTGTTGTACAGTAGGTGTTGAGTAAACCTCATCATTCAGCAGATAAATCTTGCATACCAAAAATCCGTTATTGTTTTTCCCCGTTATTTGGAAAATAATTATTGGTAATTTTAACTTCAGGCTCCTAAAATGACCAACTACAGATCCAACTTTTCCTCAGAAATCACCCTCGAAGTTGAAATCGAAATATTTTTTTACTACAAAATGTGTGTACAGACAAACAACAAACTCACACATCATTGTATAGCCAAAACATTCATATTTCTACTCAGAATCTAAAAATATGTGACAGACTTATTGCTATAACACATTTTTAAACTTTAATTATGGACATACTTTTTAACATAAATATAAATTGTAATATATAAATATAGTGTAAACTTTATAAGGTGAAACATTTTTTTATTCTGACCAGTGACAATTGCCAGAGCTATGAGTTCAACAATGTAAGGTA